AAAAAAAAAAAAAAAAAAAGTATCACCTTATATCACCTATAATATCACCCTGATTTATATCTATATGTATATATATAGATAGATATAAATATATATAAAAGAGAGAGATGTCCTGGGAGGCACTTTAGTACAAGCCTGTAGTGCACAACAACTTGGCAAGAGCCAAACTCAAGCTGTCTGCCAAAAAAATACTATTTTATATGAAGAAGCATATACCTATGATATAGGAAATGTAATAAAACCATCTCTAGCAGCAGGAAGAGTTTAGTATTAGAGAAGCAACACCATTCCAGCATTTCCAATGTTTCTCTTTCAGTGCACCTCCAGTCCTGTTCTCTCCCTGATCTCTGTATGTATCACAACAGAGAACAGCAACATGTGCAACCACAATGGATCAACAAAAGAAGATACTGCTGACAGGAAACATTTTCTCACTTCTTTCCATACCAGTGTATATGAGACACTTTTCCCTGTTTTGATATTGTCTTTTCCTCTTTTCTCTTTCTTTACCTGACTTGATCACCATGTTCTACTCCAAGCTTTCTGGTTTGGAACAGCTCCACACTACTTCATTACCATTTAACCCCTGCTTCTTTCTGGATCACAAGCCATCTCTTCCTTCTTACATACCTAAGCTAAATGCTACTACTTGAGAAGCTGCAACACAAATCCTGTTGTTCTCATGATATACAAGCCAGTCTTTTGAGCGTTGTTAATGAAAATACCTCAAGGAGCCACAGAAGACTTTAAAAAAGCCTTTAAAAAAGCCAGGAGTGTGTCTCTGTTATCTAAAGCAACAAAGCCAGATGTCAGTCCAGAGAAGTATGAGCGCAGCAGTGCTTTGCTGACAGACATTATTCAGATCTATGAGTATTGTACTTTTTTTTGTTTTGCAACTTTGATAAATTCTGAATAGAGAAGTCAGAATATGCTACAAGATGTACATATGTGTTTTTAAGAGCACTAAAGTTACTAGGTCCCTTTGTGTAAAGCTTGGCATAACAAATAAGCAAATCTCACCCTGACAGAAGGTTACAGCTCCATTGTTTCTGCAACTCCCACTCCATATAGGGATTACACGATCAATCCAAGTGGATCCTTCTAAAACAAACCAGTCTACTAACTCCACAGACACACAGTAAAGCAACGTGCCAAAATCTGAATGATGATAAGGAAGCAAACATTTAAATTTAAACTGTTCTGATTCTTCTCCACAGAACCTCAATATGAATAGTTAGCTAAATTTAATTAAACACACAAACCATTGCCTAAAGTCATATCTATTTACTGGGAAAAAAATATATAACCATGGAACATCTCTCCTTCTTTTAAGACATCCTGTACTAGAATCCCAGAATAGCCACAGACCAAGGGGAAAACAAAACAAATTGACCTATTTAATAGGAAATAAGCCGAGACACTGACAACCACCACATTACCAACATTATCCATAGAAATATTCATGTCTTATTTGAATGGATCAAGTGCACAACATTCTATGCAATACTCAGGCACTTCTGAATAAAATCATTTCTGTAATACTTAATGAACTTGTACCATTTTTTTTCCCCTTGGTTGTGGTGTTTTCAAGGGGTCTGCTCAATAATTAAGCCTGGAGATGCAGATGTGGAAATGTAGCATCTCAGCTAGCAATGGTTATTAAAAAAGGAAAAAAAATAAAAAGGAAAAAAAGAAAAAAAAAGATATAAAGATTTATTTGATTTTATTTTTTAAATGAGTTTTTATTAAGGAATAGGAAGCCAAGAAGCAAAGTCAAGTACAACAACAAACATATGGAAAATCTCCAGGTTATATTGCATTTTGTGTTAGACTCACTGCTAATCTTATGTAAAATCAAACTCATTAACACGAGAAAACCCTTCCAGTTTAAGTAGAGTTCACATTTCTCCACGTTTGCTTCCCAAAATTAAGGTAAGCTTCAAGAAAATCTGCAGTATAACTAGCATTCAACTGCAAGGCCTGCTCCAAAGAGGTAAGTGGAATTAGCGATAGTGGTTACTACACTGCATAAAACCGTTACTCAGTGGATATTATTTCCTCCCAAAAATACAAGGATTGAGTAAAAATAGCCATGATACCCATTAACAACTAAATACGCCTGAAGTTCTTATTTTTCTCACGTTAATTCAGCACATTCCCTTGGGCTGGAAGGCATTGTGTTCAGAAGTACAGCACTTAACCGTTTTGTAAAAGGATATTTGGTAGTTGAGGTTTCTGTCTACAAAAGGTTAAGCAAGAAGGCAGGCCACACATTCAAGTCTGTTGCATACAAAATGTTTTTGCAAGGCAACAGTAAAGCCCATTACACTAGGAGTTGGTTATGAGATGTATTCATCACCTCTATAAGAACTCAAAGTCAACAACCATCCCAAACATACATTCCATTTCTATACGCAGATGTAAATTCTCCTGTCTAATAAAGAAGAAATATAACAATTAACTCCCTGTTACTGAAGATAATGCTTCTGCCTGCATAAGGGCATGGAATTTGTATGGGGCATGAAATGTGTCAAGAAAGGAAGGCTGATCATTTTGCCAGGACTACAGAGCAAACAAGAGTACACCAATGGCTCAGAATACAAGTCCATAAATCCAGGAGGTGCTTCTGTCTTTCTCTCTTTATTTCAGATTTTACATCTAAAAAAACCATCCAGTACTCTGTGGCATTCCTTCTGGTGCCCTCCAAAAAACCAAAGCCAAAATTCAAATAATGTGTCAATGAACAAGTCAAGGCCTTGTACACCGAGTGTTTTGTTCTGTGCTGGAATGCCCCTCTTCTCATTTACTTCAGGCTGATCAAGATACATTAATACTTGTTGAGGTGTACACTTCATTGTGAAATGAACTGTTACATGCTATACTGAAGAAGATTAAGAAAACTATCTTGGCTTGGAATCTCTTCTGGAATTGTAAAGTGAAAAAAAAAAAATCTGGAAAACGAATGTCAGTTTTAAGAAACAGATATTATCTCAGAGCAATTTAAGCCCGCAGCTTAAATGCTTCAGAGATGCTTGTGTGACAAAATTAACCATGTATAACCTCCCCCAGCAGATATACAGGTAGTCTGAAACGTCGCACACAAGTCAAGCATTTCATGATAGAGACATAATAAACTGACTTCAGAATACTAAAAATAATATGCAGCCTTATAGCCAGCCTGAGTGCCAAATCACAGTATTCTGATATGGTATCACCTCTAACCAGAGACCAAATTTCTGGAAGTATTGAAACATTCTTCCTTTTTCTAGGCAAGGAGAAAGAAAATTGCACTGTCTTCCACCTTGGAAGAGCTGAGATGGTTGAGCTGTTGTCTGCAGGTCAGTGTTACACAAGAAAACCCCCATCATTCCCACACCACCTAGAAAACAACACCGTATACCTCCTATCCAGACTAGCTTTAATGATAAGTGTTTTAAAATGCAATGCAGTTATCTTGTTTTGCTCTTAAAACTCCTCAAAGAAGAACACTCGACTGCAATAGGTCCTGAACTACAAGTTGAGCCCATGTGAAGCTGAGCAGCCCTCACTTCACAGGTGACACTGCTCAAGGAGAGATTATTCAGCATTTTCCTGCTAACTTGAAAGAACCACACCAAGCTCTCTGCCACCAGGCCGTAGCACAGCACAACTCCCAGGACAACCAGAAGTAACCTCACACCCAAATTAGGCCCAGGGCTACATGTTATTGAGAAAAAAAGTCCCGATTGAGAACAGATGTTGACCAATTCATTCACTGCAACACTTCTGAGAAACCAAGCATACGTCTGGGACAGCACAAAAACATTTCAGTTAGCAGAACGATCATACCAACACATCGGATAACTTCCAAGATATTTCCAAATTACAGACACAGAACACAGGAGAGAATGTTTCTTTGCAACTCTTTTTCCAAGAGCAATGAAAGGTTTGTTCCAGACTTCTACAACTGCCTGAAAACATCTCACAGCATATTCATTTTGTGTCAGGTGCTGCTATCTGCTTCAATGTCTCCATCTTGTCATCCTCACAAGACTACAGGGCCAACTGTATCCTACACAAAGTCGCACTGCTTACATGAAAACCTGGACCTCATTATTTCCAAATAATGACAGTAAATGAGGGAAAAGTTCTGCCCAAATCACAGTCACTTTTGCAACGCACATCTGAGCCTTCTCTCATTTCCCCCACAGTTGCTCGGTCTCCCAGGTAACACAAGCACTTCACAAACTACCCAGTTATTATCCTAAAGCAACTTCACCATTCGAGCACAGTCATTTCCAACTGCTCAGATAAGAGACAAGCGTCTGGAGAAACAAATAGGTCAACTTTGACTCAGTCACGACCATGAACAGAGTGCCAAGGTAGAAAAAATAAAAGCAAGTTACGCACAAGATAATCAGCTTGGTTTTTTTTTTCCCCTCATTTTTTTCCTTTTCTTTTTTTTTAACATATATATATAATAACAGGCGACCTGCTAAGGCAATGCAAACAGCAAACTATTTTTTAATGTTAAAAAAAAAAAAAAAAGCTGAGAAGTGAAAGAGTAACTAAGAAAGACATTAAACAGGTTAACGATTAGAAGCTCACCCTTTTTTTTTTCCCGCGGACGCGAGCAGAGTTTGCACCGAGCAGCCCGGACTGCCTTGGGGGCTCTGCGGGAGCGGCCCCTCCGCCCGGCGGACCGGCCGTGGCGGGGTACAGTGTGGCTGCGCGGCCGGCAGGGGGCGCCGTTGCTCGCGGGAAGCGCTGGGGAACTGCTGCAACCGGCGGCGGCGCGGCCAGTGCTGCTGGGCCGGTGCTCCCCGGGTCCTTCCACGCGAAAAAGTAGACGGGACGGGACGAGGCAACCCTCCGGATGCCCCCCAGCTCCGCCCCAGGGAAGGAGGCCTCGCCGCTTCCCCGGCCGGCAATGAGCGCCGCTCCGCCTCGGTAGAGATGGGGGAAGGGACAGCCCCTCTCTCCCAGCAGAAAGCTCCCAACCCCAAACCATAAATACTCACCATATTGACTTCTGAGACCATATCTATACTGGCAATGTCTATGTTCATGCCAACAGCCACTGGGGGACCTGCAAACCAACAAGATGGTCCGCAATGTGATCGCTAAGAACTTAACTCATTCTTACCAGAGTTACAAGGACTAAGACATAGTAAAAAAAAAAAAAAAGAAAAAAAAAGAAAAAAAAAAGAAAAAAAGAAGAAGAAGAAGAAGAAACGATTAATAAACAAAGAAATAAAAAGCCGGGAAGGTGACAAAACAGCGTCCCCCAGCCCGTCCCTTCCCCGCCCCCCCAAGCGTGCAAGCTTGCCATCGATCCGCGAGGAACGCGTTAGCGCCGGATTCACCCTTTGCGCCCCGCCAGCTGGAGCGCCGCTTTATATAACGCGCACACGTGTTGGCTCCGGCGCCGGCTGCTCCCCGGGGAGCTCGCGGCACGCAGCCCGGGGCGGGCAGGGGGCTGTAGGGACCCCCCCCCCCCCCTTTGCTCCCCTCCCCGGCCCCCCACCCGGCTCAGTCCCTCCGGTACCGGGCGGGGGACTCCGGCGAGCGCGTCCGACACCGATCGATAAACACACGAAGTAGTTGGGAGTGGGAGCGCGCAGGGGGTTAAATGACATTTTCTTATCGGTTAACGGCGCATCTCGTACTCGAAAATAGTAACTGTGATCACGGGAACGAACGTTGGGTAAACTTCAGAGATTTGCATCTCGATAAAGCCAGTTAAATGAGGGGTTAATAAATTATCAGCACGCACACAATGACGGGCCGATTCCACATATGCAGGAGATTTAAATGATGGCATTAAGAGCGCCTTGTGCTAAGAAAATAGAGTAACAATTAGCTTAACTTCAGATCATCTTGAGAAAATGGCAACACGCACACCCAAAGCAACAGCACCCACCACACGTCTAAAAAGCACGCACGGAGAAGGTCCAACAGCCCGGATATGTAACATCTCTGATCGAAAAGCTGTCGAATTACCTCCAAAATCTGGCCTCAAGCGAATGTCATAGCCCTTCAGCAGTCTATCCACGGTCTCTTTTACCAGTGACATGTTACTAGGGTCATTGACACTAAGGAGGAAAAATAATAATGCGTTATTTCTAATTTCTCGGACCCAAGCTGTACATTCCTCTTAGCTGTAACATGCAGAGCAATTCAAAGTAAAGCAATGCCTTCGTCACTTACCTCTGTGCACACACCACTGCTATTATTAAAGGGAATGACCAAATCCCAAAGTAACCCTTTTTCCGGACTCTCAGCATCCCTTTAGCTTTTGATATGATTTAGGGTTTCAGTGAAGAGAAGAAGAGATCCAACTTATTCTGGCCAGTGCAGTAATTCTAATGTGAAGCGCATGCGCACGGCGTACCACAACATCAAAAGGAGCAGTGGTTGCTGCTGGAGATGGAGCAAATTTCCTTGCAAAAAAAAAAAAAAAAAAAAAAAA